TCTCTCTCTCTCTCACTCTCTCTTTAAAAAAAAAAAAAATCCCAGTGGCTTAGGAGGCTAAGGCAGGATGATTATGAGTTCAAAGCCAGCCTCAGCAAAAGCGAGGCCCTAAACAACTCAGTGAGACACTGTCTCTAAATAAAATACAAAACAGGGCTGGGGATGTGGCTCAGTGGTTTTGAGTGACCCTGAGTTCAAACCCTGGTACCACCAGGAAACCTACAACAATTATACAGTAAAATATGGTATATATTTTTTGCATACCTCCTAAATTCAATTTCCTTTTGCATAAAAATCAAATATACATAAAATAGAAATGTACCTTCTAGAAAACTAAGATATTTATAAAGAGACATCAAAGCAGTACAATCTGAAGTGGCTCAGTAAAGTATTTTCAAGATCAAAATCTAAAATTTCATAAAAATAAAGATCTCTACCAAGTCAGTTAAGAAATATGGGGAAAAATTGTCCACACATACGATATACCACCCCCATCAAAAAAATAAAAACTGAAAAATTACTCTCAGTACCAATGTTCAAGTATCAAACTTACTGTGACGTTTAAATTCCTTCTGCAGTTTACTGATCTGGTTGCTTTTTATCCTGTTTCCAGATAGAGTTTTTACTTTCTTTGGTTTCAAAGTAGTCTTTAGACTAGGTCCTGCCCTTGCGTCTACCACCTGGAAGAAAACACTGAATATTTAATACCATTGAAGAGTTATATGTATCCCTTTGGTTCAGACCCATGCCTATTTGAGAACCAGAGTTTTACAAAATGTTTCTGAGGATTCATCTTTCATCATCACACAATATAAAGAATACTATTTATCTATTGGGTGTTTGTTTTTAAATTCTTTTTTTGAAATAATCACAGGGTCTGTGGGAAAAAAAGATTTAATAGATTTATGTTATGGGTTAATCATTACTAGATGACCCAACTAGGTGAAGAAGAATCAAGAATCAATTCTACAGGATGATGTATAACAATGTAAACAGCTTTCATTTATTTCTAATTCTGTCACAAAGCAGTAAAGAGGCTCTTTTTGTTACTCTAATTTTAGTCTGAAGAAAATCAAGGTAATAAGAAAATTATATATTTTGCGTTTTTCCATTAAGCTAATAAATAATCAAGGTGATTAGAGAGGAGACAAGACTGAAATCAAGGTCTTCAAATCTGTTCTTCATGTTCTTTTCACTATATAGTTGAATTCCTGAGGTCAATTATGCAAAGGCAATACATGCTCCCCTATCTAGCCTGGCCATTGATCTATCCACGATGGTTCTACTATGGTACTATTTCTTGTGTGTTCATTCACATTTACTACTTGCAGATATGTATGTAAAAAGGAAGGTTGTCAGGCTGCAGTTGTGGCTCAGTGGTAGACCACTTGTGTAGCAAACATAAGGCACTGGATTCGATCCCCAGCATCACTTAAAAAATACTAAATAAAGATATTATGTCCATCTACAACTTAAAAAGTTTAAAAACCAAAGTTTTAAAGAAAAAAAAAAAGAGTGGTGCGCAGTGGCACACACCTATAATCCCAGCAGCTCGGGAGATGGAGGCAGGAGGATCAAGAGTTCAAAGCCAGCCTCGGCAATTTAGCGAGGCGCTAAGCAGCTCAGTGAGACCCTATCTCTAAATAAAATAAAAAATAGCGCTGGGGACTCAATGGTCAAGTCCCCCTGAGTTCAATCCCTAGTATCACCCCACACACAGAAAAGGTTGCCATCTTCAAAATCAGAATTTTAATCTTCTCCAGATGAACTATTTAAGAAAAATTCATACTTAGTAAGGTTAACAGATCCAAAAAAAATCTATCACAATAATTTAACATTGTCATCAAAAGACAGACTAAGGATAATAGAGGAAAAGATAAAGAAAAAATGCTTGTCTACTTAAAAACAATACTTTGTGGAAATTTCATGGAACTGAAAAGAGATCATATTAAGTAAGACTTGGGGCTGAGGGGGAGCTCAACAGTAAAAAGCACTTGCCTGGGGTATGCCAGACCCTGCGGCTCCAAACAAATTTAAATGTGTTGTTCTAATTTATCAAAAACTAAAAAAATTGGGTTGGTAGATATTTGAGTAATAACATGTGCCTCGCATGCACAAGGCCCTGGGTTCAATCCCCAGCACCACACTCACAAAAAAAAGTTCTGGTGACATGGGAAAATAAAAGGGCTAAAATTTCCAGTTTGAACAACTAGATTTAAATAGATTAAAAACAACTTCAATCTAACTGATTATTATATGCTTTACTTTATATACCATCTCATTGTTCTCACATTAGCTATGTGTGATAATTGTTTTGCCCTTTGTAAATAAATATAACCTGCCTCAAGTCCACAACTACTGTAAGTGGTAAAAGATCCAAACCCCAGGTGTTATTCTAAAACCTATATGGCTCATTAGTACCAACCTGAATTCAAATAAACATGTTATTCTAAGAGTTAAAAAAAAAAAAAATCCATGTCTAACTCTGGGTACTTAAGATATGTGAATATGCACTGTGAATTGGATACTGCCTTATGAAATGCCACACCTGGCTATTCTGTTCCAAACATATCAACATGGTAAATGATTATATATCTGAGCAGCAAGTAGTGTTATTTTTTATTCTTCAAACTTTGCCATCCTAGGCATATTACTTCTTAAATTAGAAAGAAATTCATGTTACTTTAAATATAATAGAGATATAACTGATAAAAACAGATGAACTAACATGATTCCAGTTTTTTTTTGAACCTGCTGGTAACTTCTTCCATCTTTTCACAAGAAGAACACAGGCATTACAGATGTCTCCTGAACGAGTCTCATGCAACCTGATGATAAACAATAAAACCTGTATTAGTCGCTTTAGTTTAAAGGATACACACAAATATATTTCTCCTGGAAAAAAAAAATTCATTTATGACTTATAGATGCAATTTCTAATCATTGTAGATTGCCTAGTCCTTTGTTTCAGGGACATATTTCAGAAATATAATTAACTTCTATAGAGGCAATGAAACAAGTCTACATACTCCAATTTGGTAATTTTAAAATAAGAAGAAATAAATCAGTAACAATTTTAAATATTTTTAAAACAAAATAATAAGACTTACGATCTAGAAGAGAGCCTGATCACCATGGTTTTAAGCAATGCTGTCATTCTTGAAATATGTAGATATTGCATTAAGCAATAAAATGCCACATTTTAAGTAAAATAATGTATCATGATGTTCCAATTTCACAACAAAAAAAAGATGTATTGTAATTTTTAAAGTGATTTTTTAATCTGTATAGTGAGAAAAATCTATAGGACTAGTTGTCAAATATTTTTAAGCTGTAACACAAAAACAAATTCATTTTGAATATGGGAAATTGTTCAACATTAAACATTTTAAGCCAGGTACAGTGGCACACACCTGTAACCCCAGCAACTCGGAGATGAGAGAATCACGAATTCAAGTTCAGCCTCAGCAACTTGTAGAGACCATGTCTCAAAAATTGAAATAAAAGGAGCTGGGGTTGTGGCTCAATGATATAGAGCGCGTGCCTTCCATGTGTGAGATGCTGGGTTCAATCCTCGGCACCACATAAAAATAAATAAATGTCGTGTCCATCTACAATTAAAAAAATATTTTTTAAAAAAAATTTGAAATATAACAAACACTTTTATCCAGTGTTTGTTGGAGAATAAGTTTCATCTTATTGGGGCCAGGGTTGTGGCTCAGTGGTAGAGCACTTGACTAGCATGTGTAAGGCACTGGGTTCCATCCCCGGCACCACATAAAAATAGAAACAAATAAATAAAGGTACTGTGTCCATCTAGAACTAAAAAAAATATTTTAAAAAAATAGTTTCATCTTATTAAGCAAAGGTTTATTGCCATAAATGAGGAATATAATTATGAAACAAAACCATACATATACCCTGAGCAGGTTTCAGGGCAGAAAATTTTATCATCATCTTCCTCTGTTAAGTTAGATTACAGTATGAAATACTAAGAACCACTATTAATAAGAGAATAAAGATAATCTTTAAAAATCTCTTTATATCATGAAGATAACAAAAGGGTTTGTCTAATTAGAACTATGAAGATAACAAAAGGGTTTGTCTAATTAGAACTATAAGGGGCTCACAATTTGGTTGTTAGCTCCTAGTAATATGAAAAAAAAAATTAGGCTGTCAGCATTGTTTCATTTATTTTAAGAAGAGAAACCTTAAATAGCCTAGATTAGAATATAAATGATCTGAATTATTTAAAATGGTACAAACATCAACTGATCTTACCCAAAACAGCTCTGGAAGTCCTTTTCATAACGTTTACTATCAGTGAATCGAGAACTGGAGGACTTAGCTCTGCAAATACAGCAACCTTCTATACTTCGGTACATCTTTGGCTTGTGAAAACCAAACATCTTTTCTTCTGGGCAAAAGCCTGTAAAGTCAAGGGAATTGACACAGCTTTGTTGAGGGATATAAGAAGAAAACATTAAGACAGGCATGGTGGTGCAAACCTATAATCCCACTGATTTGGGAGGCTGAGGCAAAAGGATCCTAAGTTCAAAGCTAGCTTCAACAATTTAGCAAGGAGACCCTTAGCAACTTAGAGAGACCCTATTTCAAAAAAAAAAAGAAGTGGGGGACCTGGGGATATGGCTCTGTGGTCAGAACTCCCTGGGTTCAATCCCTAGTACCAAAAAAGGAAAAAGAAAACATTAAGATTTTTTTTGTTCCATCCCACCCCCAAGCAACTTGGGTGTTTCATGACCAAGGTGAAGAGGCCTGCTCTGGGAAAGCACTTCTGCATCTATCATCATTTTTGGCACTACCATGGCAAGTGTATAAAACCACAAAATAGTCCGTTTGGGAGGTTTCTACCTCCTAGCCTAGCCAATACTCATTATTCCAAAAATGGAAAAGGAGAGCATTTTTTTTTTTTTTTTTTAGAGAGAGAGAGAGAATTTTTTAATATTTATTTTTTAGTTTTCGGGGAACACAACATCTTTGTTTGTATGTGGTGCTGAGGATCGAACCCGGGCCGCATGCATGCCAGGCGAGCGCGCTACTGCTTGAGCCACATCCCCAGCCCATTTTTTTTTTTTTCTTAAATCAAGTTTTAAAGCAAAAAAAAAAAAAGGCCACCACAAATCCTACAAAATGACAAAAATCACAATCAAGGATGCATCCTAAAATTTAAGATTCACCTTAGTATTCTGCACCTTTGTAATTAATGGGATTTCCCTCTGGGGAAATTTTGTGCATTTACCATGACCACTACTTCAAACTAAAATAGCACACTATGCATCAACCCACATCACTTTGCTCTATGGGAAATTAGGGGGGATTTCTTCTATAAAAAATGGGAAGTTCTAAGCAGTCAATGTTGGCCCTGAATTATAACTGCTGAAAGGAAAATGAAAGCTTCACAGAAATCTAAGCTTAGAATTTATAAATAATTAAAAAAAATCCATGCTGGGGGTGTAGTTCAGAGGTAGAGCACTTGTCTAGCATGTGCAAGGCCTTGGGTACAATCACCAGTACTGAAAAAAATAATAATCCTATTAATCATTAATTCAAATTAACAATGAGCTCATATTGCCTGACCATTGCTCTGCTCCTCATAAAGTTTTTGGAAGTATTCTATGAGGCTTTGTGCTAGAGCAGTGAATAGTGAGAAGCAAATGTTCAGAAATACAGAATGAAATAAAATATAATTCTCCTGGTCAAAATAATCTCAATATCAAGGAAGGATGAAAACATCTCTAGGCCTGGATACAAAAATGTATATCTTAGAATTTGGAATATCCAAACCAAACCAGCACACCTAGACTAAGAAAAGTGATGAAAAGGTAATGAATATAGAAACTAAACCCCAATGGGCAAGTGCAGAGGTTATGTTAGTGTATGTGCAAGGGTCCAACTGATGATCACAAAAGCATCATACAAAGCATGAACAGATAATTATCATAGTTCTAGGAGGTATAACCACAGAATACCATCCATTCTTTCTGTTTTGTTTTGGTGGGGAGGGTACTGGACACTGAATCTAGGGATGGTTTACCACTGAGCTAGGTACCCGTTCTTTTCTTTTTTTATTTTAAGATAGCATCCAAGATGCCCAGGCTGACTTCCAATTTGTGATCCTCCTCCCTCAGCTTCCTGAGCTGCTGGGATTACAGGTGTGAGCCACAGTGGTCAGCTGGTTTTACAATGTTTTTAAAAATAGCTTAAAAGACTTTTATTAGAAAATAATTGGCTAAAAGCTGAAACTTCCCTTTTAAACAGATTTATTGTTAACCACATGTTCCTTTTTGATGTTTTATTGGTGAAGATGCAGCCAAAAGAGTGGGATGAGGCAAAACAGAAGACCACTTATGCATTTCAATGATTAAGCCTAAACTAAGTTACCTATAAGAATTGTTAAAAGGGCTGGGGATGTGGCTCAAGCGATAGCACGCTCCCCTGGCATGCGTGTGGCCCGGGTTCAATCCTCAGCACCACATACAAACAAAGATGTTGTGTCCGCCGGAAAAAACTAAAAAATAAATATTAAAAAATTCTCTCTCTCTTAAAAAAAAAAAAAGAATTGTTAAAACAAGATAGCATAATATTCTTATCATAATCATTTTAGTTCAATGCTTGGGGATTTTTTTTTTTAATGAAAAAGAAAGTACCCTCTACATAGTAAGAAAAAGTTTGGGTCATATATCTTTTTCAATCTAACAAAGCAACCTACATGAGAACTGAAAAAGAAAAGGTCCTCCCCAAAAAATGGTCATGTGTTGCTTTGGAAAAAGTAATATTAAAAAAAGAAAGAAAAGAAAAAGCAATATCAAATGACAGGACTATAGAACAGGAAAGTAGAAGTTAATGTTTTAATTTGTATATTCCTATTTTAAAGTAAACTGTAATACAGATTCTGTCCTAGAAACATCCTGTGATCTCCAAACTCCCTAACACCCTGCCTCTGAGGTCAAAAGTCCACAGTTCCTCTTACAATCATCAATAGCTCTAGGAAACTTCAGCCTCTCTCCTCAGCAAGGACAAAGGAAGTACATACAGCAAAAAAATGAGCAGTTCATTCCATTAATACACAAATCCTATTATAACAGATAGATTCCCCAATCCCCACCCTCACAATCTCTTTCTTTACCTCCCAAATAAACATGAGAGCAAAACTATGCAGCACTCAAATCATCTCTAAGTTTTAACTGCCTTCATTAAAGCTGGATTTGGCCAAGAAGCCAGAGTTTGTCCCAGTTATCACAATGGAAAGCTAACAGAATGTTATGACTGAGGCTTTCTTTTTAACCAACAGCTAATGTGAATCCAGTGTTCATCTTAAGTGATTTTTTGTTGGTGGGGACCAAACTTAGTCACTAGTCCCTGGCAAGACATTTCATTCTTCATTTGAGGAATATTCTTCCTAAACATCAGGAAACAGCTTGATACCTTAGGACTCATAATTCCTCTTTACATAGCTCTATGACCTTACTTTTGTCCTAATGAAACTTTTCTGACAGAATCCCTAAACAACTTAGCAAGACCAAAATTAAAAATAAAAAGAGCTGTGGGGGGGGCGGGGGTTGTGGCTTAGCGGTAGCGCGCTCGCCTAGTACGTTTGAGGTCCTGGGTTCAATCCTCAGCACCACATAAAAATAAATATAGATATTGTGTCCAACTACAACTAAAAAATAAATAGATAGATAGATAGACAGACAGATAGACAAATGCAAGCACTGGGGAATGTGGATCAGTGGTTAAGGGCTCCTGGGTTCAATCCTAGGTACCCCCAACTGCCAAAAAAAAAAAAAAATTCTGCCTGAACATGAGGGGAATCTAAACCCTAGGCTTCACCATTTTCCAGTCAGTGTTCAGTGAGAAATGGAGTGGGATGGCAGACACTTGCTCTGATACAACATCCAAGTTGCACATGAACCTTTTTTTTTTTACTTTTTTAAAATATATTTAATTGTAGATGAACATAATACCTTTATTTTTATTTTTATTTTTTTATGTGGTGTTGAGGATGGAACCCAATGCCTCACACGTGAGGCAGGTACTCTATCACTGAGGCAGGCACTCTACCACTGAGGCACATGAACCTTTTAAAGGATGACTACTTTTAATAAAGCTATTAAGGTTTTTTCTGAGCTTATTTCTGCACTTTAGAGGCACCTGGGAATCTGCAGCAAATACACAGGGGTTTCATTTTGGGCTTTGTTTACAGCAACCCAGGTAAGCAATAGTTGGTGTTTAACCATTCTTCAGGTTTGGGGAGCCCTAATGTTAACTGGAAAAAAAATTTAAGTCAATGCTCACTCATGTTTTAAAACAAACTGGGCATGGTAAGACATATCTATCTGTAATCCCAGAGACTCCGGAAGGGTGAGATAGGAGGATTGCAAGTTCAAGGCTATGTAAGAGCAAAGCCCAGTCTCAAAAAATTAAAAGGGCTAAAGGCTGGAGATAAAGCTTAGTTGGTAGAGTGCTTGCTTAACATGCAGCTCAGTGTAAAAGCCTTGAGTTAAATCCCCAAACAAACATCCCTACCAAAAACATCCTTACCAAATTTCTGGAGTAAAAGTAAGGACATAAAATGGCTTCTGAAGCCAAGTTTCTGAATATTTTTGAGAAAGTAGAGAGCTGGTGTGGCATAATTTGATTTTAAATGTCATTTGTTATTTGAAATGGTATGATAGTTCTCTCGAACTCTTTCCTAGTCCTACACTTGTGAAATAGTAAATAATTCCTCCACAACAATCTATCTTATTTGTTCAAATAACAAGTTAGCTATTAAATTCTTTGCACCTTTTAAATCTATTCTGGGTTAAAAGCATCACACCTTTCAGCACTGTTTTAATAGATGGAGGCAAATACCATCCACTTCCTAACTGATGAACAATTACAGTGGAAGGCAGACTCTACATAATCTTACCTTTAAGGGTGCATTTAGGGAGAACAGAAGAAAATTAAGCTTTGTGATAAACCCAAAAATAAGGGAGGACTTAAAATATTATAAAAATTTGTCTTCCAAAGTTAAATAGCAATGATGACTGCAGAACTTGGTCAACATACTAAAGGCCACCAAATTGCATACATTATGATGTGAAGTTTATGGCATGTGAATTTATTATAAGCCTCTTTCTTAAAGATACACTTAAATGAGTTGGGAATTCTCCTGTCTTTATCATCTTCATAACCTCAGCATCTATGATAGCACTAGTATCAGAGAATACTCAATAAATGTGGCTTTTTTAAGAATTTTAACCAGGGATTGAACCCAGGGGTGCTCAATTATAAAGCCACATCTGTAGTCCTTTTCATTTTTTGAGACAGGGTCTTGCTAAGTTGCTTAGGGCCTCATGACTAAACTTTTGTTAATATGCTGTCATTTGCCAAATGCAGTGGCACAAATGCATAATTTCCAGCTAC